TTAATTAACATATCTTCAAGATCATCACTACTATTGTCACTAGAAATGTCTTCAAGACTGCCATCAATATTATTATATTCGAAGCTATCATTATTAATTGGCAAGTCTTTAAAGTTGCCATCTTTATTACTATCTTCAAAATTGTTATTAATTAAAACATCTTCATTGTTCTTAAGGTTATTATTAATTGAAAGATTATTTGCAAGCTTAGCTTGTTTGTGAATATTTAGACGAGGACGTCTTACTCTGCCTAGATGAATTACAATTTTTTGTTTCAAAATACAAATATGAGTTATCTCAAAACTAGTGCAACCGGTTAAATAGTGTTCTTAATATTCAAATAATTGAACTCTAAAATATAAATTTTACTACAATCACTTGCGCAAAGAGTAAATTGTTATTGATTATTTTATTTATATATTGATCAATTAACTTTACTAATGAGGTAATAGTTAATTTGTGATCTGCAAATACAAGAAATATCTGTAATAATGATGATTTTTGTATAATTTCAAAAAATTTCTCTATTTGACTATGAATACATTAATGTAATACTTGTAGTGTATATACCAGATATGTATATTTGTAATTTTGGTATATCGAATAGTGTTAGATTTAATTTATTTAGTAACTAGTAAGAAGATACTCTAGATATTGTATATACAAATATAAGTTAATATATAGATTTACTCTTTTAAGATAATAAAATTTATGAAGTTATATGTCTAAGTAAATATGAAGGTTTTACATAAAAATATACAAAATTTTTTAACCAAATTGATATGAAACTTGTAAAAGATTCTCAATTCTCTATCCCAATTCCATTTTAACTTTGATGATTTACATTATATATTTATTTATAACACATATTGCATTATTAATTATTAAATATTGCTTATTCACTATTTTAGTTTCAATTATAATCATAATAAATGAACTTAAAAACTGTATCACAAGATATGCAAATAGTAAAGATAGTGAAAAAGAGTATTATTGCGATACTTGTACCTGATCCTCTTTACTATCTAATTCTTTCTTTAAAAGTACCTTAAAACTAATATCATTAAGGTTTAAAATGCCTCCAATATTGTATATCACAATTCAAAATAAGGCTGTCTAAGTTTGTAATTCTAATAAGTTTTTTTCTTTGTCTAACATTTCTTTAACCATTTTCAGAAAACATTTTGACATAAATGTTTGCTATGTTTCTTTAAATTCGTCTGTAAGCATTGCTTCTTCATCGATCGCTTCATAGAAGCGATTGAGAAATGAATACTATATCTCTTCCTGGAAGTATTCTTAAATATCAGATTTTACAATCTGAGAAGAACTTTTGATTCTATAAATTAAAAATTAATAATTATAATAGTTTTATAGTAAACTAAATACATTTTTTTTACTTACCTAAAATCAACAATAAAATGTTCAGCAATTTTTCTAAGGCCACTTCGAAGTGCTTCTCTATAGAATCAAAATGCCGTATTGGCAGTACCTTTTAAAACAGATAAGTCTTTATGAGAAAACTTTTTGAACAGAAAGTATAATTTGATACATTTAAGAATTATTGCTTTTGTAAGATGTCATGTCCTAAAAAACATACATTTTAAAAAGGTTTGAAATTTCACTGATTCCTAAAGATAAAAATATTAAGTAAGAAAATAATAATAATAATAATCATACAATAAGAGATAGGATGTCTTACTAGTTGAGTAAGAACTGTGGTTTTTTCTTCATTATCAAACACTTTAAGGCCATCATACTAAGCTATTTGTACCGCAATTTTTAAAAGTTCTGGTCTTTTAGCAACATATGCTGCAGCTTTATAATCTGACTCAAATAAAATTGTTTTGCAGTTATTAGATTGAATTCGAAAAGGCTGTGATCGACTTAGTGAATGAGAACATTGTAAAGAAGAATAGCGTGAATGAGAATATCGTAAGGGAGAGTATTATGAGTAAGAATATTGTCGTAAATGAGAACGTCTTAAGGGAGAGTGTTGTGAATAAGAATGATGTCGTGAACGAGAATGAGAACGTCGTGAGGGAGAGTTTCGTAAATGTGAACGTTGTAAAGAAGAATATCGTTAATGTGAACATTGTAAAGAAAATATTGTGAACAAGAATGAGAATGAGAACATCTCGACAGAAAATTTCTTGATTGAGAAGACAGTGATCGAGAACGAGAACATCTTGACAAAAAATCTCTTGATTGAGAGGGCTATAATCAAAAATGAGAATCTACTAATCGAGAACAACTGTATTGCATTTGGAATACTTTATTAAAATCATTAATGTCATTATAATTAAGACTTTCAACAAGATTATGACTCTTGTCAATCTTGTTCTGATCATTATAGGTCTTCTTATTTTTGATTAAAGCTGTGTTTTTTTTATCTGAGGACATAAGTGCTTTTTTGCCTGCAGACATAGTCGCTTTCTTAAAGGTACTCAAATTTTGTTTTAAACTAGCTTTTTTAGAAGGTATTGAAAATAATTTTCACAAATATCATGTTAGTCATAAAAGAATAAATACACTAACAACATACAGCTATTTATAAGCAAATTGGCGCTTTTTCAAATTTTATGCATGATGCATTATCTTTTATTACTGTATTATTCTAAGGTTTGATAATGGTAAGCATATTATCTATTTGGACAGGAGAGGTGCAAAGCAGCGTCAAAAGGAAATAACTATTGGTACATAGCAATTTTTTTTTGTAATTCACATGCAATAAATTTAAGCTATAGTATGTAGCAATTATTGAATTTAATTAGTTGATTGGTAGCGCAGCATTTGCAATAATTGCCACAACAAAGTTGTCACAACAGATTCTCGATTTTGATTGGCTAAGAGCGATGAACAAAAAATTAGGCCAGAATTATTGATCGAGGTAAAATCACTACCCAAAAAAGTTTCAAAAATCAGATGATATTGTCAATTCGTTATGATTAGGATCATGATAATAATATTTATAAAATATTAATTGATTTAATAGGTGATTTTTTTTTCTTCGATTCTTCAAAATAAAAAGCAATCATTGCAACTTGACAAACCAAGTGATTCTTTTAAAGATATAAAATTCAATAAACATAATATTCTAAAAATATATATTGATTGCTATAACTAAATTTCTACTAAAAATTACAAAAACTAATCAAGAAATACAATTGCACCAGAAAACCTTGTATATTTTATTTTTAATGCTCTTCCGAAATACTATAACTCTGATTATTTATTGGAGCAAAAAGTTTTATAATTCTGAATTCAGAACACAACAAAAAAAATTGTT